ACAAAAGGAAGGTGTGGAGGGAAGGTTCATTTTCAGCTGCAGTATATTACTATTTTCCTTATGACCTTGGCCATAAATGGATGTTTGTTAACAGCAAGTGCAAGTATTATTGCCAGTCTCCAAGACAGTGGTAGTACCAGGAATAAGAAATAAATCAGAGACAACCAGAAATGAGGGCAAATTGTCCCGAATGAATTATATAATTGTATAAATTAAACCAGAAATGAAAAGCACATCTGACTAAACAATGTCTTTTTATGTCAACCTGCCAGTTTAGCAGCTGCAAAATGTATTATAATGTATAGCATAGACTCAAGTTCTTCAGCCAGAGTGTTCTCTTCACAGAAGTTTTGACTTACTGCTGTGATGTCAGTTTGCTTTAGAAAAATCCCACTTCACTGGACAAGGACCAACTCTAGAAGTATCTGGATGTACTTGGTTCTACCTTTGTTATACATTTCCACAGCTTGAAACATAAAACTTCCTCTTGGAAAGCTACATCTCTTGAATTAGAGCTGGCACATTTTCATGTGTCTATTATTCTGTTCCACAATCCCCAGACCCAAAGGCCCCCTAACCTATCAAAATATTTTATGCTCTTAAGCCGTGCTTGCCAAAATGCAGTAATACTGGCAATCTTTAAACCAGCAAAGACCACTGGAAAGCTTATTTTCAGTCTATCCTTATTCTCATTCCTTCCATACAGTCTTCTGGCACAGCAATTGAGCTCCTCTGGCTGTTCTCAGGCAGGAGAATGAGAACACTCACTATGGTGCCTGAAAGGGGAGGAAGACGGTAGCAGATAATACTGAGCATGTGTGTAGAATGCTGTAATTGTTACAAGTGCTGCAAGACATGTAAATGGATGTTGAAAAGTATTCGGTGATTTTGTGGGCTTAAGTAGCAACATCTTTGAAATGCTGAATATTATGCAACAGACTATTATTCTAGAAATAAGTGATGACTGAAATGATACTGGAAAGCAACACTTAATATCAGTTTGTTTAGATTGTGAGAAAGTACCTCTTCTGCTCCCAAATTTATTCTTTGTGCTTATCTTTCTTGAACCTGTTTTCACTGAGAAAAGAAAAACGTAAGCAAAGGAGTGTTGGGAAAAGATATCATTCTGTATTGTAACTAAAGTGGCCTGTTGAAGACGAGTTTCACTTCATAATGTCACACTAAATTGAGGTACATCAAATCTGTTGAGAACTCAGGCATACTGACATCTCAGTATTTAGTATTGTATTATTTCTGTTACAGGCAGGATTGGGTGACAAGATGCTGTCAGACTTACCTTGCACTAGTTCTAGTCTAGAAAAATAGAAAAAACATGGTTTATACAGAGGAAACAGTCATTGCTCCTATTGTCACATTTTTCAGAGTGTGTGTAGTTTTATCAATAAAAGATTGATTGTCTAGAATACAAACAAAATGATGATTCTGAAAAAGTTTTTACAATAGAGAAAGAATCAAATGCCCTTTTAACAACCATTTTGGAATAAATCTCAGAGTAGCACCTGAAAAATGGCATGAATTGATAGATGTTTTCTTGTTTGCTGGACTCCAGAATTAGAAGAAAATACTTCATATAATGCATTCTATGACCATATTTTAATTGTTAGCACACAGCATTGTCTGGAAACAACATCATACATACACCTGTATTTGTATACAATGTGTACAAAAGCACAGTAACAAAGTCTTTCAAAATGTGCATATTGTATTAGCTACATGCCTAGCAAAGTTCCAAACAGATTAAGCAATTCCCCAACACCAAACTACTGGAGTTCGCAAGGTGGCATACACATTTAAGATTACTTAATCAAAACAGATCTTGAGTTTTAGCCCCAGGAAAATAATGCTGAATTCCTGCCAAGAAGGTGTTATAGCCTACCTGGGAGTACTTTCCCCATAAAATTTAAAAAGAACAAGTTTCAGCTTGTAGTTCTGCCAGAAGGCACCCTAACACTGTCTGTACCATACATAGAAATTTAAGACAGTGAGTAAAAGGAGTATAAATCAAACATAATCATCAAATCTTACTAAACACTAGATTAATATTTTCCTTGTAGGATTTCTGTAGCACCTAGAGAAGTCTGTGTGACACAAATGCCTTTAGGGGGTATAAATGCATGGATTTGAAGTCCTATAAAATGCTACACTGTACAGAGATTGCCAAATAAAATGAGGCAGGGAACCAGAAAAAATGCAAAAATACACCAGAAACTTGATCATGGTTATTAATCACCACTGAGAAAGGAAGGCTTTATGATTTTGTGTTTTATGGGTGCAAAATATCTGGGGCTAAAAATAATTCAAGACTGATCAGAAGAGAGAAACTGGGAACTGTCTGGCATCCAGAAATTAGTGGCATAAAGTTTAAGAGAAGATATGAGAACATGTAACCTCATGCAGATTTAAGGCATGTGGGAAGAGTAGAAGAAATGGAGACAAAGGGAAGATGAAATAATATTAGGCAGTTATGGATGGCAAATTCCTTAACTATTCCTGAGAGATTTATAGAATCGTGTCAACCTGCTATTTCATGTGAAGTGTCCCAGAAAGCCTCTAAAATCACTGAGCTACCACAGTTAGCTACATACTGCCTGTCCTAGCTACAACAGTTACATACCATAGGTCTTACCAGCTTAAACCATATACAGATTACGCCAAGATAACATCTTGGTGCTTTAAGGATAGTGGCTGGAAGATGTCTAGCCTTAAAGATAAGGGTCCAGGAAAGAATTCTTGAATTTCAGTTGGTTCCACAGAATTACAAATAAAACATTAATAGGAAGTGCTCTAATGAGGACAAAACGAACAGTAGGCTGCTATACTGCATTAATACATCAGTTTTTGAATTTCTGAGACTTGCAATTAATCCTGAAAGCCAAACAAAACTTCTGTTGTCCCTTCTACTATTCATTTTATAGAAGTTGCTGAAGAAGTGTAGGTTATAGTGTTATAACAAGGAAAGATCTGTGTTGGAGCAGTTCCAACCCCTTGAAAGGAAGAGTTATTTGAAATCATACTTGGTTCATGAACTGGACCTAAGAAATATTTCCAGAAAGTACCATTGCATGCCACTACCATTCCTTCTCATAAGACAGGCATGGAGAATAATTACTGGTCTGACAGCACATACCTGTATAAGGGGGCAATCAGATTCTACCCCATCAATCTGTTCTTTGAGCAAGAGCTAATGCAGCCAAACTGATAGAATTTTAGAGTGGTTTGGGTTGAAAGAAACCTTGAAGATCATCTATTTTCAGTGAGCAAGGTTGATACCCACTAAATCAGGTTGTCCAGGGAACAGTTTAGAAACTTTTATATTGATACCCTTACGTGAGTTTATGCAGCAACAAACTTCAGTCTACTTGGCTACTTGTTTTGAACCATGAACAAATTCAACCTTTAAAAAAAAAGAAAAAGGAACAACAACAAAAACTAGAAAAATAGTCTTAAAATTAAATGTGAACTTTTAAAGTTGATCCACTTTTGGCATTATGGTTTAAAGAGCAGCTTCACAAACTTCTTGAAATATATTCCCAGAAAGAACTATGAATGAAAAGAGAGAGCAGTAAACTGCCCCACAAGATGTGTACTGGACAGTAATGGGCAATCACAGTCTCCCTCACTGCTCCCTGCTATTTCAGTCCTAGCTCTGCTCTGGCCACGTACTCCAAAATTGTACTCTTGGGAATACTGATGAAGAACTACTCTTTCCACAGCCACCAAATGGTGTGGATTGACCAAGGAACTGGAATGTTTCACACACAAAAAAAATTGTAAATCCTTCTTATAGGCCTCCTAGCTAGAGTTTTCTGAAGTTCATTGATTATTTATTCACAAGAGTCTACAGGAAAAGAAGTGAGATTTTCGACAGTACTGAGTGTTTAGACTTGTAAACTGCATGTGCAAGAGGACTGAGCAAACAGTGCTAGCTGTTATGTTTCATTTCTTAGGCACAATATCAGAGTAGAGCTTTTTTGATCCCATGGGCTGGATGATCGTTAGTGGTCCAGTATGTTTCTGCAGGGCATCCTTCAGTCTGGTTTTGCCTGAAAGTGATCTTGTATTATGAGACTGCTCTGAGAGGCAGATTGAAACCAGGAAAGAGATAATGACTTTAAAAGAGTACCTCTGGTCCCAGCTCTAACACTAGTACAGACACTCACTTGAGTACCTAGATTCCTGGTTATAACAATCCCAAATTAGACTGGGACCCCAAGCCAGTAAGTATCTGAGGAATCTTATTATTGCTTTTTAATTTTAATATTCTTTAAATTTGTGGTAGCAGAATTAAATTTTAGCAGATAAACTTATGACTTCTAAATAGTAAACAAATGACCCTAAAACTCTCATCCATGTGTCTGTGAATAAACAAGATAGATTTAAATGAGATAGAGAGCTAGCATTTGATATATTACTATATTTTATCTGAAACTGGAGTCTATGCCTTTGAATAACTCCTTAATTGGTCCAAAAAATGCCTACAAGACTTAATGAGAAATACTTGTATAGACTACACAGCTAAAATCATGCAAAAATCTATTAGATATATGCCTGGATTAATATTCACTTGAAAATACATATTTTTGAGATCAGAAGAGCTATTGTTTTTCAAGCATTATGTGAACTATGCTAATTTTCACACCATTATGTTTTTCCTATATGTTAAGTATATGCCAACATCTTCTTTAACACATGCTATGAAGCCAGACAGCTTTGGCTTCTCAAAGCAATGCACTTTTTACTTCTGTCTAACATTAAAACTGAGGTGAAACAATCTCATACTAGACAGGCTTTAATAGATTCCTTGTTTAGACAGTCTAAGCAATGAGAGCCAAAACTGAGTTACAAACTGCAAAAAAAATTTCAGTTTTGTTCTGTAGTCAAAAATCATACCTATTAAATCATAATGACATTTCTTGTTTCAAGTTTTGCCCATTCAGTTGTGTCACACTAGTCACTGTGTTCCTGGTATTACTTTTCAGGGAAGTTGTCTGAATGGCAGAAGAGTTGCGCAAGTAACTGGCAGATCTCTCTTGTTGAGATTTCTTCCCACAGCGAAGCTGGTTGTTGAAATGTCTTCTGAAACTCTCACTGAGCAAATACAGTGCAAATGGATTGACACAAGAGTTGCAGAAGCTTAGCACTCGGGCCACTAAGGTAACAACCATATGCCCTATTGATGAATCAATCTCATTGTAATTAAAAGACCGGTACATGTATAGCACATGGTTGGGGAACCAACATATAGCAAAGAAGCCAACAAAAACTAGAACAATTTTTGCCAGACGTTTCCGAGTTTCCATCTAAAAAGATGAAGAGAACTCAAATCAACAATAGTGAAAAAAACTACTTCACATAACATACAGTTAAAACATGCAGCATTTCACTTTATATTAAGAATTATCATAAGGCCAGTAATATACTGAATTACTTTTTTATTACTATATTACTTTTTAATACTTTATTACTTTTTTCATTTACTTTCCCACTTTCAGTTTACATACAGTGAAAAATCCTATCTGTTTGTGCTTACAGAAGGTTGCTCTTTCTATATGAAGAAAGAGAATTTCATGACCCTAGTATGTATTGGCACATCACCTCAAAGCATGCACCAAACGATGCTATGAGACACATCTTGGCTTGAAACTTAGCTTTAGTTAGAAGTTATTTTAAAACTGTTGGTTTGAAATGAAGAAACATTGCAAGTCTGACACCTAGGGTTTTTGCCGTAAAATAGTACTTATGTACTGTTATCTTGTCTGAAATGCCTCAGGCCTGCACCTCTCTCCAATGGAAACCAGCAAAATAGGTGTATTACACAGTCTGAAGCATCTTAATTCCAAAGTAAGTTGAAAGGCTTCATCAGTCTTCAATAATAACTTGAAAGAAATAATGACTTTTTTTGCAGTACTAAAGTGTGATTGGATTACAATGTAGATATTCAGAATGGGTGAAGAGTTGAAAGGAAATGAGCACATACAATGGTCCCAAAACTGAGAAATGGAGACAAAACTGGCCAATTGAAAGGTACAAAATGGAGGTAGAAGCTTTCTAAATACTCCTTCCAAAAGATTTATTGTTTGTGGCATGTACCAAAGTTTCACAGAGGCAGGAATTTTTTCTGGCTTTGCTTAACTCACTATTAAATTTGAAAAAATAAAAAGCAAGTGATTTTTTTTCTAACAGATTTTCAAAATCCATGAAATAGATCTGCAAGTGGAATTTTCTGAGCTCCATCTGAGCAAAGAACAGTTGAGGTTTCACAAAAGATGGGAAAGCTGTACCATTGCAATTCGGTATGATTTGCACTGGGCCAGATAGCAGTAGCAAAGTAAAAGGTACAGAGGCATTGTATGAATATCATACTTTTGTGCTATAGCATAAAGAAACCTGGACTGATAGCAGTAATCTGAATTTACTTATTCTTGCTGGGAGATATGTGAGTACACTAGATGTTTCTACTCTTCTGAGTCCCATAGATTAAACAAAAAATACCTAAGTAGAATGAAAAAAAAATGTCCTAATTTGAAAATATGTGTAGGTTCGGAAATTTGATATAAATTAAATATTGTTTCCATCCTGTGAGTTCAGCCAAAAGGCTCTCAATATTTCACAGAAAATAACATAGTACATGAAGTGCTAATATGCATGCATTTTTACAAGAAACAGACTAGAGTGGAAATGAAATGCTGAGCTAAGAGGACATGAGGGAATGGGGTCTTTCTTTGAAAAAGAATGTGTACGTTCTGTCTCGGCAAAGAGATTTCTGTGAGCACAAAGATATTTTCTACAGCATTGGCAGAAAAAATCTAAATTATTTTCATGGGCATAAGTAGTTTTCTCTATCAACACTAATGCATTTTCAAAGTGGTTAAGGCATTTTCCTGGCAAATGCTGAGGTTGGCATATAAACAATTGTGTTAATGAACAGCCACTTGTTATCGTATAGTTTAAAAGGCCTTATAGTGAAGTTGGCTATTAAAATGTATTGTCTCAAAGGTATACATAATCTACACTGAAAATTCTATAGCAAGTACAACAGAAAGATTATTAAGAAAAGTTCAGTTGTAAATTCAGGATTGCATCCAAGAAACATCTACTCAGAAGGCCAAAAAAGTTCACTTATTGCTTTCTCTTGACATTTTCATCATTCCTCGGCCTGAGAAAAGCTTCCAACCCTTTAAGAAATTTACCTTCCTGTGTCAATATTTTTCATTTCTGAGCTGAAATAGAGACAATTGTAAAATAATAATAATAATAAAATAATAAAAAAAAAAACATGTAAAAACCCCCTGTTGGTAGCATACAGTGAGAGGTGAAGTCAGTAAGACTGCAAGCAGTAGTTACACTAGCTACACATACATACACATAAACCAAATCTATTTCTTTCGTGAATATGTCTTGATGATATTGAATTTATATTTTCCTTCGTATTCATTTACATACTGGGTTTAATACTGAGTAATTATTACAGCAAAGGCATTTTTCAGATAATTGTATACTTAGTTCATGCATGTAGAATCTGAGCTTGATTCTCTGTGTAATCTAGTAACTTTGATGTTCCTTTTTTTGTTCTTTCATTTATAAGTGCACGCAGAACATAATGTTTCAATGGGAAGTAAACATTAAATTGCTCACCTGTCGTTTTGAGTGCTCACTGTTTTCTCCAGGGATATTATGGGCACTTCTTATTAAACTCTTTGCAATATGATAGTAGTAGATACTAATAACGGCAAGAGGGATAAGGAAGTACACTAGGAAAATCAGCACAGAATGGATCTTTGGGTGCATGTCATCCGTCATGGGGTATGGTATGCATGCTGTGAAAGTGGCATTATCTGTGTCATTAATGTGGGCGAGTTCGGAGAACACTGCTTCAGGAACTGATAGGAGTATGGAGATTATCCAAATGGCAATGGCTTTTGCACAGGTCCATAGCACTGCACTGGAGGCCTGGATGTCCATGGGCTTTACAATTGCTTTGTACCTGAAAGTGATAAAAATGCAGTTACATACTAAAAGGTATCTCTTTGTGCAATGATTTAGGCTACTTCATACTTCTGATCAAAATAATGTCATATTTTTTTTTTTCTTTTTTGAACCAACACAGGGTTTTTGTAATCTTTATCAGATTTGCATTTTCTAAATCTCTGGTCTTTCACTGCATACACAGCTATCAGAGGTGGCAAAAGGAGTTGCAGAGAAGCTGCAATCTGTCACCCATTCTATGCCAGCCAGGTGAAAACACAGAAGCCACTACCATTCTGTTCTTCCTTGTCCCATATCCTCTCAGCAATCCCCCAATGCACATCCAGCCTCAGTACTTCCATCCCACTCTCATACCAGCACATTCATGCTACAACTTGTTTTTTTCCTTATCTCTTCCTTCCTGTCACTGCCTCTCATTTCCACTTGCAGACGCAATGCCACCCCACCAGCTGCTTGCCTTTACTCCTTAGCTCCATTGTATACACAGATATACTGTCCCCGCTGCAACACTCAAAACATATATATATATTTTTTTTATAGAGCCAAACAAGAATGACTGCCAAGAGCCTATCCAGAAGTATTAAACTCTTAAATAACATAAGAATGTTCACATAAACAGTTGGAAGCTGCTGCTTCCGCATTTTGGGAAACTGACCCATAATAAATGATTATAGATAAACTTTTGCAATATTAATAATTTCATGACCATTACAGTGAAAACAGGAAATGTTACAAAGAATGGAAAAATCACTACAGGAAAGCTGACAAAAGAACAGAAGGAGATTCTGGTCAGGAATTTTTCTATTAAATTAAAAAAATAGTTGCATAAGTTGATACCCAGGGAGACTTCTTACAAGAAAAGGTTAATTTTAAAACGCTAAAATACACTTTGAAAGAAATATTTCAAAGCTGCCTTAATGCTTTGATTAACTTTATGATTCTGATTTTGATAAATATTACTTTTCAAGAAGTAAAGTATGTTTTTACGCTTTTATTAAAACTGAGCATTTAGTAAAACATTTCAGTTTGACTAAACTATGGAAATTTGGAAGGTTGCTTTTTCTGATGCCTTTTTTTTCCTTCCTCATTTTTTCCTGTCTTAATTTGATTTTATGTTCTTGAAATAGCAGAATTTTCAAGAAATGGAGAAATTATTTTCACTTACCAAGAAAAGAGAAGTTTAACATGAGTGAAGAGGGATTCATATATTCCAGGTACCTAACTTTATTCCTCTTAAGCTCCTTCTGTTCAGCAATGTACTTTCAAGCAGTAATTCAGCATCTTTGTATATTAAAACACCCTTTTAGGTGCTTCTTTTTCTCTTACATCTGTTCACTGAGCTTTCAATGAGAAGAGCTGTAAGTTAGATGTCTCCACCCAGTGATAGAACTCCTTATCTACACTTCTAGGTACACATACACTTGTAGATATGTACACAAAAACAAACATACATTAATATGAACAGTTATCTAAATACTGTCAAGCGGTTAGGCTGTGGCTAAGGTTGTAGCATAATGCATTTGCTGCAGGCAAATGGAACTGCAATCCCAAGTACACTTTGTGACTGATCTGTAGGTCCTGACAGTACTTAATAATCCTCAACATGTCAAGCAAAGGTTTGGAGAACTGTGGGTCAAAGCTATATATCTATGCCCTGCCTTGTGAGTTTACTTAAGCCTTCAGTCGAATTGACAATGCCATGGAAATATCTGGCATGGAGTACTGTCTTGGTACCTGAGAAAATCTTTTTTTAGGGAATGTCTGAGTTAAAATGTGTCTTGGAGATTACTCTTTCTCATGACTGTGATAAACTTACCATTAAGTAGTTATAAATTATGGCTATTTATGGTCATATTCTCTCTGAATTGAGAAAGGATTTTTACTGTGTCTTCACTCATATCATGGAGTAGGAAATTAAACTGTTTCTGTTAATTTTACTATTTCTTCTAACACAAAACAAAGATCTCCCACTACACAAATGTGTAAAGAAATCCTTTATACTGTCACAGCAACTTCTGCATAAAGCATGAAGGCTTCCCAGCACAAACTGTGACCTTATTAGTCAATAACATACTTCCTATTGCTGTCTGCCTTGATTTCATTACATGAAGACAGACCTTCTATCTCATTTCATTCAACTGAGGTGACGTCAAGTCTTTGCATCTGCTCAATTCTTTAAAACTCTACATTGCTGCAGAAGGGCTGATATGGGGACTTAGAGGGTATTGAAAAAAGAAAGCATATATTTTGTACTCTTCATATTTTTTTCTGTATTTTTGTATTGCAGTGCTTTGCCGAATCACAGAGTCATGGAATATGCACAGTTGGAAGGCACCCAAAATGACTATACAGCTCAACCCAACCCCTGGCTGCATACAGAACCACCCAAAATTCAAACACTGTGTCTGAGAGCATTGTCCAAACCACTCCTAGAACTCCATCGCCTTGGTGCTGTGCCCACTGCCCTGGGCAGCCTGCAGCCTGTTTCATGTCTGCCGCCCCTCTGGTAGAGACCCTTTCCCTAACTCCCACCTGTCCCTCCCCTGACGCAGCTCCATGCCGTTCCCTCGGGCCCTGTCGCTGTCAAAGAGAGCAGAGCTCAGCGCTGCCCCTCTGCTCCCTGTGAGGAGCTGCAGTCGCCATGAGCCGCCCCCCCCCCTTCCCCCCACAACTCCTCTGCTCAGTGCTCAGGGCTGAACTAACCGAGGGACCTCAACTGCTCTACATGAGGCAGCAACCTTGTCATAATTCATTGCTTAAGCAGTATTTGGTTCTGTTAATATCTACACTGGAGGCGTTTTCAGAAGCTTTTACATTCCTAAAAAAGGTGGCATATATTTGTGCTTTGACACATATTGCTGACCTATGACTAAGTCCAATTTTGAGGTCTTTCAAGCAGAGAGCCTTTTTCCACAAGAGAAGAAAAAAAAGCAATAGCTGGGTTCAGCCCAAAAAATTTCAGCATTGTCCTTCAGTTGAATACAAGATGGCATTCTTCCAAGATCTCAGTAGTCTGTGTCAACGGGAAGGAGAAAGCACTAAGCAATTTACAAAATCTGTCATGTTGTTTATATATCTGCAAAGACATAGAGACAGGTTACAGATAAAATCAAACGCAAACTAGGCGAACTCAGAAGTATTCCCAAAATGAATATCCAGCTTCTTCCTTTGTATAAAACTCATGTAAGGCTAAAATATATTACCAACCATTCAGATTACAAATTGTGTATTTTTTTATAAATTAGGCGACATTGGTAAATCAGAGTAAGAAGCAAATTATTTAGGCAAATTATTTTAAAAAATCCATCTTTTCCTTTCCTTCACTGTTGAAAAAATAAAATAACAGGTTCTCAGGAAGATCAGGAAATAATTATATGTATGTACTTGACTTTAATTCCTTCATGTAAATTCTATCATTCTACTTTGTCATTATCACTGCTGACAAAAGCATCTCAGCTCTTGAAATATTTTTATAGTCAGTTTCCTTACTTTGTAGTTACCAGTGGACACAAGCAAAAACTTGCCTATTCTGCAGATATTAGTTTTGTTTATATAGAACATAAATGTCCAACCTGCTACTTTTATGTTTTTGTTGCCCTCTTTTTTTTAGTATTTTATTTTTTTAAAAAATTGAAGTCTTGTTATTTAAATACATAAACTTTATTCATATATTTTATATGCATCCCAAAACAATTCCTTTTCACTCAGTGTAGCCCTGACAAGCCAAAAGGTTGGACACCCGTGGTATTGAGTGTTTTAATTACAAAAGAAAGAATATGTTCTTCTTGAGTTATAACATTTTGCAACCTTATAAATTATCAAATGCCTTCTTAAATGCATGTCTCAGTTCTCAATTAATATGTAAATTTAATTGGGAAAGCAACTTTCTCTGCTGAATCCATTGTGCTATTTCCCTCCCATGAACTTGACTTCAAAAGAAGCCGCTTCATGGTTCATCTAAGTGGTTCCTCCATTATACTCCTACCTCTTTCTCTAGAGTACTTTGTGCTTATGCCCTTCAAAACCAAATTAGAAAGAATAAGAAAAAAAAAAAAAAAAACCAAAGACAATAATTAAGAAGCCACTGATCAGTGATTACAGCCTATCATACTACCCAGGGTTGCAGTAATCCTACAAAGGGGACTGAAAGCTCCTGGGAAAGGCTAAATACTTCATCCTTCCCATTTTTATTTTTTTTTTTTTCTTTTTTGCAGTTCATAAAACTTTTAAATCAAAATGTAAAAGGTCAGATATTTTGAAAAGGATAATATGAGTAAATCTGAATACAAAACAGTATATGTTTTGTATTATAAATACTGGCACATTTTGAATATCTCCAGAGAAGGAGACTCCACAACCTCCTCAGACAACTTGTTCCAGTGCTCTGTCACCCTCACAGTAAAGAAGTTCTTTTGCAAGTGTGTATAGAACTTATGTTCCATTTTTTCCCCATTGCCTCTTGTTGCTACACACCACTAAAGAGTCAGGTCCCATCCATTTGAGTTCTGTACTTTAGGTATTAATAAACATTGATCAGATTTCCCCTCAAATCTTCTCCAAGATGAACACTCTCAGGTCTCTCAACTTTTTCCCTTAAGGGAGATGATCCATGCCTTTAATCATCTTTGTGGCCCTCTTGCTGGGGAGATTTTTTTATTTTTTTTTTAAACTGGGGAACCCGAAACTGGACCCAGTGTTCCAGATATGGCCTCAACAGGGCAGAGTAGAGAGAAAATCAATTCCATCAGCCTGCTGGCCATGTTCTTTTTCATGCACCCCAGTATACCCCTATATATTTATACATAAGGAAGAACTTTTTCTCTCAGAGAGTGGTCAGGCACTGGAATGGCCTGCCCAGAGAGGTGGTGGAGTTGCCATCCCTGGCAGTGTTCAAGAGGCATCTGGATGACGTGCTGCGTGATATGGTTTAGTGCTAGTGGTGGCAATGGTGATGAGGAGACGGTTGGACTAGATGATCTTTTTAGGTCGTTTCCAACCTTGTGATTCTATGATTCTATGATTCTATACTATTGGCCTTCTTGGCCACAAGAGCACACTGCTGGCTCATGGCCAACCTGTTGTCCAGCAGAACACCCAGGTTCTTCTCTGCAGAGCTCTTCTCCAGTAGATCAGCCCCTAGCTTGTACTGATGTATGTAGTTATTCCTCCTCAGGTATGGGACTCTACATTTGCTCTTGTTGAACTTCATCAGGTTCATGTTTGCCCAACTCTCCAGCCTGTCCATGTCATGCTGAATGACAGCTCAGCGTTCTGGTGCGTCAGCCACTCCTGCCAGATTTCTATCATCAGCATAGTTGCTGAGGTGGACTCTATCCCTTTTGCCCAGGTCATTGATGAAGATGTTGAACAAGACTGGACCCAATTCTGTCCAATGGGGAGCACCATTAGCTACAGGCCTAGAACTAGACTCTGTACCACTGAGGTCCAATCCGGTTTTCAATTCAGCTCACTGTCCACTCATCTATCCACACTTTCTAAGGTTCGCTGCAAGGATTTTGAGGGAGACAGTCTCAAAAGCCTCGTTAAAATCAAGGCACACAACATTCACTGCTTCCCCACATCTACCCAACTGGTGAAGATATCATGGAAGGCTACCAGGTTCGTCAAGCATGATTTCCCTTCGTAGATCCATGTTGACAACTCTTGATAGCCTTCTCTTCCAATTGCTTCGAGGTGGCATCCAAAACAAGTTGTTCCATCATCTGGGAATGGGAAAGGGATGGAGGTAAGGCTGGCTAGACTGTAGTTTCCCAGATCCTCCTTCTTGCCCTTTTTGAAGACTGGTGTGACATTGGCTATCTTCCAGTCTTCAGACACCTCTCCCATTCTCCAAGACCTCTCAAAGATGATAGAGAGTGCTTTGGTAATCACTTCTGCCAGCTCCCTCAGTACACATGGGTGCATCCCATTGAGGTCAATAATATCCGAATAAAAAGTGTGATCTAGCATTTTTAAGTGACTTCCCCAACCAGAAAGGAATGAAAGTAGATTTTTCAGGTTTCTTTTTTTTTCTTTTTTTTTTTTTCACATTAAATATATTACTTGCCCTGTTCCCAAGGCATTTCAGATGAGAGTAGAGAATTTTCTCTACAATTTCTCTTAATTTTAATTTTCTCATCTCTCTCTTTCTCTTGCCATTCACCTCTTATTAACTAGCCATATTTCTTACAAGCTCATACAAATTTTGCAGTGCTAGTTCACTGTCCACAATCTGGATTTTTCCTTCTACTTGTCCATTTTCTAGTAACTGAACTAGTCAAAAGTACCATAATTAATTTCTTCATTTCTCCTCCTGAGGACAGTAAGAGTAAAGTGCTTCATTGAGTTTTTTTTATTATTCAGAAAAATTAGTGTATGTCAGAGTTTCCAATAGATTTAAGTTTGCTAATGTTCAGAAAGAGTTAGTAATTTTTTAATATTTTAAGATAAAAGGAGGGAAAGGCAGAAAGGGAAAGGGACAGGGAAAGGGAAAGGAAAGGGAAAGGGAAGGGGAAGGGGAAGGCAGAAAGGGAAAGGTAGAGGGAGAGGGAAAGGGAAAGGGAAGGCGGAAAGGGAGAGGGAAAGGGAAAGGGAGAGGGAAAAGGAAGGGAAAGGGAAAGGGAAGGGAAAGGGAAAGGGAAGACATGGATAGGAAGAGAGTTGGGCAGAGGGGAACATTATGAGGTTCAAGAAGAGCAAGCACAGAGTCCTACCTCTAGGGAGGAATAACTGCATGCATCAGTACAGTTTAGGGGCTGTTAGTATAACAATCCTTAAATTACAAACAAACTTGGAATGAAAGCACAAACTACATTAAAAAATGAAAAATAGTTGGGGGAAAAAAAAATTCAGCTTGCTACTGAATTTATCACAGAAATAGGAAACAGTTTTGGACACTAAAATTTACATTAATCGAAGCAAAGTTGTCCGCTGCCAGCAAAATAAAGGCATTTCTTTGATCACAGACTAGGATAAACACCACAGCCATTTCTTACTTTGCCATCTTGAGGAATAAACTGTTTTGAAGAGCACACAGAAGGAAAAGTTTAACAGACACTTGTGTCTGCAAAGTTTGAGAACAGGGTAAAAACAGTTTGCCTTGTGTTGTTTGCTGAGAAATCATTTTCAGCTGTTTAAAGATGGTCACAAGAGGAACTTATCCAACAGGTAATTTGAATTACATTTAAGCTAACTTATGCTAGAATAGGTAATTCCTGAATGTGCTCTAGATACAAAAACTGTCCCATATTTTTTTCCATCCTTTTTTTCTTTCTGAAATATTTTTTATTGTTTTCCTTTTAGCTAAATGGAACAGTTACAAACCAGCTACAACATTCTGGAGTGGGGACAGGTGAAGATAGATTTCACTGTTAAATTGACATTAATGTTTGTTCCTGCTTCGCAGAGAAATTCAACCTATTTACAAGAAAGCAGAAAAGGGCTAATAACTCTATATATGAAAAAACAAACAAACAAACAAACAAACAAAACCTGATCTTCCTTTAAGAATTGGCTTTTAGTTCAGGCTTCTTGTGAGTCTGAGACCTCTGAGGACGGATATCCCACTCCTCTCTTTGTCACATGCAA